TGTAGGTGTGTCGCGCGCAATGCAGAAAATTTTGCAGAAGGGCACCGCGGAGCTCCCTTACTCGCGTCTGCTTCCCTTGGCCCCTCCCCCAGAACTGAATTACTGTGTCACGAAATGATGCATGTCTAAAAAGTGTGTCACCAACATGAAAAGTTTGGAAAGCTCTGGTTTAGGTCCATATCCATAGAATACATCCTGTTTAATACTGGAATTAAGGACAGTCTGGCACTGATTCAAAGTGGTTCCTTATACCCCTTACACCTAAAGTTTAGGTGCCAAGCCTCTAACACGATTCAAAATGACCACACACCAAAAGCCACAAAAGTCATTAGACACCAAATGTAGCCTAGTATCTATGGCACTTCTCCCCCAAAGGGAGGAGTCCTGTGTTCTGCTGCTTGACCCCAGTACTATTTACGCATTTCACATTAAACAAACATTGAGTACGAATAGAAAAAAAATCTGGCAATAGGAACTGAAATAAAGGATTGTGCCTCTTAGTGAGGGGCCAAAACAACTAACCTTCAGAGGCAGACACCCTCTTCCTTGTTGTCTTTTCAGCCTATGACTCTTGAAGTCTTGGTGGCCCCACTCCAACAAGAAGGCCACTATGCACCTCCTATATCACAGGCTTGTGGTTAAGGTATTTACCTGACAAGTAGGATGTGTAAGTTTAAATCCCCTCAGGCTGAAGAAGGGCTAGAATTCAGCTTTCCCACTTCCTGGGTGAACACTTTAAGCACTGAGAAATAGGGAACAAAGGGGATAGTACCATGATGATGAGATTAGGTATTGTAAACTGCCCATCTTCAAAAACCAATACACAACTATATACGTTCTCTGAAAATGCTATCATCAATGGCTGGTAAACTGGAGTCTTCATAGCTTTCTAAAGCAAAAACAAAATGCCACTGACAATGTCACTCTTTTGCCCCCTAGCATGTAAATTGCATGCCCCAAGGTGTAAAACTGATGTAAAATATTCTACAATACCATTTACATGCAATTCAACCTGACTCCCCAATCATAGCTTATGCTACCTTTTACATGACTACCAAAGCTACCATCTCGAATCTAAGATAAGATGTTTTCCCCCAATCAGAATGGGGGGTAAAGACCTTTGCCTTAGATTCAAGTACAAAGCGGGGTGGTGGGGAGCAGGCAGCTGACTCTGGCACTGAGCCTGGGTCAGGGCAAGTCAGACCCATGGCAGCCTCCTGCCCCCTCTGCACTTGCCCTCTGCAGCATTGGATACCCTGCTCTGCCCCCTTTCCCCGCCTTACTGTCGACCACAGCTTGGCTCTAGTTGGGCTGGATTCAATCCCAGAAATAGGTATATGGAAACTCCATCCCTTGCCTGGTCAGTCAACAGAGCTGATACTGCTGTATGGCCTGGCAAGGGCTGTGCTCCCACGTGATGTGCTCCAGGGAGGGAGCAGAGCCTGAGCAGTTTCTAATAGAAATGTGGGGAAGGGGAAAAAGCAGAGACTGCAGGGAGCTGAAAATGAAGGAGCAGAAACTATGGGGAGCAGAGGGGGAAGGGACAGAGACTTCAGGGGGAAGGGACAGAGACTTCAGGAAGCTGGGGGTAGAGGGTGCCAGTGGTGGGGGACGGGGGGCAGGAAGGCTGCAGGGGGAAGAAATGGGGCGGGTGCAGAGGGCAAAGGGGGCACATGATCCTCCAGCCACCTGACTCCCCCAACCACTGCTTTCCCTGCTGCAGCAATGAGAGGGGGACAAATTTAAGACAGTCTTCCAATAATTAGATTCTATACCTGGAAAATTATAACAAATTTATAAATTTTCCATATATAGAACCTAATTATGGGTGGGGGGTCGTCTTAAATTCATGGTTGACTTAGATTTGAGTAAATGACGTATTTTAACTTTCAGATATTAGATATTCTCTTAGAACAGCCACTATATTGTATTAATTATTACTATTATTCAAATGTCTACTTTAAGTCATCTCTCAGTGAAGAAGATGGATACATTCTGCATAAGCTGGAACAAAATGAAGCACATTTCTGTTAACTGCACATTAAGATTGAAATAGAAAACAGATGCCATGGTACCAGTATTTATTGAGTCAGCTGAGATATAGGAATAGTAATCAGAAGATGAGTTTTGAAAGGGAAGTCCAATGTCAGGTCTAAGTAGAAGTACTCAGGAAGGGTACATTTTAAAGCTTTTTGTAACATTAGCCAGCCAGGTTTGACTTGTACATTTCTAGCAAAGGCAAGTCTCCAGGGGTAGATATACTGTTGAAAGAGACCAGATACAGTGTATACAAGCTCCTTCCTTGGGTCAACCAATGTACCTATTCCTAGTGTTCACAGGTGTCTATGTTAATTGATTATCTTGCCCAAAATGCTATCTGCATCAATGAAGACACAGTGGGACCGATTTCTCTCTCCCTTAAAACTGTGTAAATCTTAGCACATCCTATTCAAGTCAGCAAAGGTTTGTTGAACTTGCACTAACACGCATAAGACTGTGACCTTGTGTACTTTTTACAGATGTTTTATTTTCTTTCCATGAATTCTGTCTTCTCCCACTGGGAGATCTTATTGCCAGTTTCAACAAGGGGCATAATTTCTGTGTGGATGATATCCAACTCTGCAACTCTTGTCAACTCACTCTCTGATTCCTCGATTGCACCTGTCTTCATCTATCAATCAACAGATGACTAAACCATCATTAAGGAATGCCTCAAAGGCATTTAAAATATTTTAAAAGTCTTCTTTGTTCTATGTCTCTGACTGTCTCTCTCTTATCTCAGTCTTTTGCAATAATCTTATTATCCATGGCAATACACTTTTTTCTTTTCACATCTTAAGTCTGCTTTCCATTACCTCCATGGAGTTCACGGTCCTTACCTCTACCTCAACTTTGTGTATCTAAAATGCCTTAGTTCCCATCTTGCATAATGCAATTCAGTTTTTGGAACTGTATTTTGGTCTTTGGAAAATCTTGTCTTTAAACTTCATCATCCACCGAGCAGGAACCAAAGACTACCTAACTCCAGAAAGTGGGGATCTTCTCCAGGTGCCTATCAGCTTTAAGGTTTACAACTGTCACAGTATAATACTACTTACACCAGTTGTGATATTTTTGGTAGAAGACTATCAGATTATTAATATGGGAATTGCTTTCCTGGTCTTTGTGACTTCTGTTGAGTTCGAGAACCTTATTACTCCTTTGTTCTTCCAATATTTCTTCCCTCCTCTCCTCAAAGCTGGGGAAGTGAGCCTACTCTTTCAGTAGCCTAGTTTAATTCCATCTGAAACGTTCTCCATCCCCTCATATCACTGAATCATTCTTTTATTTTTACTTTGTTACTGTTTCATGTGGGCAATATACAGAGGAAAGAACACTTTCTAGCAGGTCCCTGTTCTGAATTCCTGACATTTCAAAGATTACCAGAGCAGTCTACAACTATCACGACCACTATCAGCACCACAGATGTCAATGGCAGCCATAGCAATAGGTTTAGCTTAAATCCTTTGGGTTTCTTTCATTGTAAAGCATTAGTAATATGGTTTAAATAAAATGCAATCACATAAGGAAAATTGGTGCTGGGAGTAGGGATCTGAAGTGAAAATACAGAGGGCCTACAGCTATACTGAGTGGCCAAAATGTGAGTTTAAATTTGTGTGTGGGGGAAGAGATGAGGATGTGCCCCTAGAATTCCTTCCTAGTGCTAAGCCTACCAAGAAAGATCCAGTAACACAGTGGTGAAATATCTAGGTGTGACACTACCAGTATTTTGAAGCTGAAGGGCACAAGAAAGAGATAAGGGGACTTTAAAGCCAGAGGACCTCAATAACATGTGGATATGCCTGAATTTTGCAAAAAAGATGGTCTTACATAAGTGGTGACCAACCTTTTTGCCCCATAGTGCCAGGTCCCTCCCCAGGCAGGATGCATCTGGTGGGCCTGATCCAGCTGTGGGGTGTTGCTCAGCGTAACTCTGATCCATCCACCTGGGTTGGGGATGGATGGGGACAGGACAGAGGCCCCGATACAGATGGTTGGGGAGGGTGGGGTGAAGCAAGCTTGATATAGACACATGGGTAGGGAGCAGGGGTAGTGGAGAAGCCCCGATCCAGACATACAGGTAGGGAGGCAACCTGGCAGGGGTGGGGGGGAGCATCCTAGCCCAATCTGGACTGGAGGTGGGGAAGCAGGCCTGACTGAGCCCACTGTGTGGGCAATGGCCCAAGGAGGCTGGATCTGGCTGTGTAGTGCATCTACTGCACCCTGCTGTTAAATGTTTGGAGCCAGGGGAGATCCCTCTGGGCTGAATGTCACAGGCCAGACATTGAGCATCCCTGCCATCCATGCAAGCTACTGTCCCACTAACCTTTGCCCTTCCCTTCCCCATCCTGCTCAGGGTTTAAATTACTGGGGAGCTGGAGAGGGCTGAGAGCACCCTGCTGTAAGATTTGAAAATCATAAGGGGGGCTCTGATCTTATTAGAGCATGCATGGGCAGCCCAATTGTTTTTGCAGACCACCCCCTCCCCCAAGACTTAAAGTGTAATTTGAACACTGATCCTCCTCCTAGCCAGAACAACTGCAGCCATTTCCCGACAGAAAGGCCCAGGGGCCTACGTGATTGCCTTTCATGCAGGCTTGGGCTCGTTTACTAGATTGGACCAGCTGGGAACAACCAAGGGAAAACCCACGGGGACAACGCCCCCCGCCCCACGGGCCAAGGAAATGGGCCAGCTCTAAGGCGGAGGCACGTGTGAATGGAGCAAAGTGCGGGCTCCCAGCGGCGCTCCATGCCCCGCCATGGAAAAGAGAACGCGGGAAAGCCTCCGGCAGAGAGCTGGGGGCGGGAAGACGGTGCGGTGGTGACGTCACAACACAGAAGCCAGAACCGAGGCGGTCCAGCCCCGCAAAGTTCCTTTCCCGCCCTCCCGTCGCCACGGCAACCGGCCGCAGCTTCTCTCTCGTCGGGGGCGTCTCGCGAGACTTGCCCGCTGTCTAAAACAGAGCGCGCGGGGCGGAACGAAGAGGGCCGGAAGCGAGGTGCCGATTTGAAGGCGGTGGCGGGAGGAGCCGGAGCTCGGGGAGGTGAATTGGGAGGGATCGGAAGCTCTCTCCCCCTCCCCCCTTAGTGCAACAGTTCCCTCCGGCCCGGGCGGGCGGGGCCTGCGCTTGGAGGTGGGTCCGGGGGGGCGAGAGGGAGCGGCGGTTTGTCCCCCGGTACCTAACGGCTTCGGGCGTGGCCGGAGGTCCCGCCCCG